TTTTGAAAAAGTATACTCTATGCCTTCCTCAGACCTTCTCTTCACATTTAACACTCATTGCAGAGGCTGTGTGCGGATGCCAAGCTCTGAGCATCTTACCCAAAACCACATTTGTCCCTTTGCTCTAGGAGACTGCAGAAGTTGCCACTATCCTACACACCACAACTTTCTATGACCTGGAGATGGTCATTTAGTCTCTCTGCTCTTCTCCAGAGACCATTTATCCTTCACTGGACCTCAGGAGGATGGCCGGGTGGCCTGGGCCCCACAGTCTGTGCTCACCCCACAGGTGTCCTGGCTCTGCCAAAGCTGCTTCCCAGCATCTAAACTCAGCCTCAGAACTCTCCTGTGCTCTCCAGAGGCCACTGCCAAAGCCAAGCATGTGGAAGAAGCCCTTTTTGTAATCCTCACAGACCTAGGGGTTTTGTTTTTTGGTTTTTGTTTTTGTACCAGGGATCAAACTCAGGATCTTGTGCTTATGAGACAGGCAGTGGAACCACTGAGCTAAATCCCCCACCCAGGTGTAATTTTAATCATTAGCAAAACTGAGCTTAATTAAGCAAGCTTCCACCTTCCCTGTAATACCAACAGGACCAGTGTGGATCTGCTATAATGTACTGGCTCCCGGGGACCTTAAAATGGCTTTGTTTTTTAGGAGTGACTTTTGAAGTTCATAAATTCAGAGGCAGGATGCAAAGCCAGAGTGGCTTGTTCCAGGGTCCATGCTGTGAAAGGCTTCACCATGGCATGTGGAGAAGTACAACATTGCAGCTGTTTCCATGCATGTCAGTTCCACTCAACTCAGTGACAGCTTTATACTGGGCACATCTGTCTTGCTCAGTACTGGGCACTGAGTTGCAGTGAGGAAGAAGAGCCAGCTCCCTCCAGCTGCAGTCTTGGTTGATGCCCTGTTCAGAGGTCCTTCCTAACCCAAGGCCTTTTGTGGCCTTTGGCATTTATGACCTCGTGATACACAGCAAGTGGTTAAACAACAGAATTTTATTTTGTCATGGTTCCAGAGGCTAGAAGTCAAGATCGAGTTGTCAGCAGGATTGGCTTCTGGTAAGGCATCTCCTGCCTTACAGATGGCCACCTCTTGCTTTGTCCTTGCATTGCCCCTCCACTGTGTGTGTGCACAGATGGGATCTTTGGTGTCTCTTCTTCTTACATGGACATCAAGCTTATGAAATTAGGACGTTAAGCCTAGATCTCATGTAATCTTAATTATTTCTTTAAACATGCAATCTTCAGATAGCCACATTGGATATAGCCAGGTGTTACAGGCTGAACTGTGACTTGCCCCACTCCAAAACTCATGTTGAAGTCCTAACTCACATGTGTTTGTTATAACTATTACTTGGTTATGATCAAAATAAATGCTGCAAGGGGTTGCAGTGCTCTGGGAACAGATGACAAAAATACTGCTTGTGGGCTGTGGCCTTTCTGAAGAAGGGACAGTTGTGGGAGCTCTGAAATGTAGATGAAAATTATTCATACACAGAGCTTGGAGTGGGCATCATAGGCAGCACAGCAGCACGTGCAAGCCCCCCCACCACAGTGAGAAAACAGTGACACGGGGGCACTGCCAAATTGAAGCCAGCAGGCAGAAGAGGATGGGAAGGGACTCTGTAGGGCCTTAGAGACAGGACAAGAACTTGAGCCTGTGAACACCGGAAGGCCACAGAGGTAATGCACAAACATACTCATCTGTCTGATGCTAAGATTCTTAAAGTGCAGACCCCCCACCTACAATTTCAGCAGCACCTGGGAACTTGCTAAAAATTCAGACTCTCTGGCCTTAGCCTAAAACTGCCAGGCCAGAAATTCTGGGGATAGGACCCAGCTCTTAAGATCTTGTTACCCTTAGAGAAATTCCTTTATGAAGGGGGACCAGCCTGTCTTGTGCTGAAATATTTACCTCCACGTGGGATCAACCCAAGAGGATGGGCCACACCTCCTCACAACTTTCACTCGCTCTCCTTTGACTCTCCAAACTCACAGTGACATCCCCAGCTTCCTTCCTCCCTGGGAAAACTTCCCAGCCTCCCACATAGACTGCAGCATTCTCTCCAGATCCCTCCCATCGCACTAAACATCTTTTTTCCCTTTCCTTGTGTTCTTGCTAATCATTTAAATTGGCATGGCATTTTGGACACAAATGAGAGGATGGCTATTACAGAAAGACTTTGAGAGAAAATCTGAAAATACTGGGGAATGTCATGGAAATGAGAGATTATCATGAAAAATGAGACATCTGGGCAAAGTTTAAAAGAATGGAGATGCTTGGCCTTGAGTGAATGTTACTGTGGCAAGCTGCAGTGACAGTTTTCTAATATATCAAGAATGCACATAAAAGAGAAGGATCCATTTTTCCACTCATCAGCCAGAGCAGAAGGAGCAGGACCATCTTGGGTTTCAGTCGGGGAAATATATGACATGTGTTTGAGCTATAGGAGAGGGGAGGCTGCCAAGAAGACTGCTGAGATCATCCTTGCCAGAGAGACTCCTGAGGAGGTCACAGCCACCAGAGCTGCTGCGCGGCAGGATGACATGGCAGTGCTGAAGCTCTGTGCACCTTGCCAAGGTGCCATAGTTTGGATGTTGAATGTCACCAGAAGCCTATGTGTTTCCCACCCTGTGGTCCTATAGGGAGGTGGCAGAACCTCTTCGAGGCAGGGCTTAGTAGAGGGAGGTCAGGTCACTAGGGGCTTTGCTCTTGGGTATTGGGACTCTAGCTCCTTCCTGTCTCCTATGACACCTACTGTGGCCATGAAGAACACTATCTTGCCGCAGACCCAAAAGCAATGGCCAAGTGACCACAGGCTAAAACTTATGAATCCATGACCTCTGAAACCAGGAGTTAGAATAAACATTTTCTCTTTCTAAATTGATTATATCAGGTATTTTGTTACAGTAACAGAAAGCTAACTAACACAAAGGCAATACCATTGGCTGGAGAGGTCCAGATGGGCAGAGCAGGTTGCCCTTTTTGGGTTATTGTGGTGTTAGATACCTAGGAGTCCAAGGGATTCTAGGTATCTCTGCCAACATTTCCACTTGCCTTACCTAGAGGTCAGGGTTACAGACATGTGTTTCATGGGAAAGCTCATTTATTCCTTTCTTACAGCCAACTCCTGTTTTCCCAGGATGAGCAGCAGTAACTGTAATAACCATTGCATCACTAGTGCTTCTGAGCTCTGGAGCACCTGTGCCATGCCAGCAGTACACATACAGTATGTCTTCACCTATGGCTCTCCATCATCATAGGACGCACTTTACAGATGAGGAAACTGAGGTTTATATGGGACTACAGATTTGTCTATGACTCCACTATGGGTCACATCTGGGGCAAGACTGAAGCCCAGGGTTCTCTGACCTCAGAGCCCACCATCATCATGATGCCCTCTGCTGCCAGGAATAAAATATTCCTGTAAGACACTCAACAAGGAATTGATCCCAGTATGGACCCTAAGACCCTTGCCATCAGCAGGTGCTGGCCTCCTGATCATGCTCAGTAGAATGGAGAATGGGGCCTTATGAGACTCAGCCAACCCCACACTGCACCACATCTGGTGATATTTAAAGCCAAGTCTCTTCTGGAAGGTACCAGCTCCATATCTTGACTCCCACTGTTCCACAAGACCTCAGTGAACCAACAGAGCTGCTGGCTGTGTGGGTGTCATCATGCCCCATCACCTGCTCCACAGCTGTCAAAGGTGCAGGGTTCCCAGAGGCCTTTGCTGCCACTAAATGTCTGTTGTGGGCCCAATATTTCCATCAGAGAGACACATAGTTAAACTGTTTGAAGACCATTGTGACTAGGGGGAGTAGAAGATAATATGTAGATACTATTCTGATAACCCTGAGTTGGATTTTCATCCCATCTTCTCTGGGCTCCTATGGCTTCTTCTCTGCTTTTTCCTCTTCCTGGGGTCCAGACAATGGCTGAAACAGCTTAGATCACAGACTTGAAGAACCAGTTTTCTTCCATACTTGGGTGCTTCATCACAAGGCTCTCCTGGAAGCTTAGTCATCAGATAGTTCCCTTCTGGGACCAGCTGAGCCATTTGATAGGGGACTTTAGAACCGAGGGCCTGCCTCATCTCATTACAAAATCTACCACAAAACAGCCATGACAATGGGGACAGAAAAGGCATAAGGTCATAGGTTCTGTTCTTAGCCAGTGTACTTATACTATTATACCTGCACCCATTTGTGGGAAGGGTACCATTGGTGGAGCTGGGATCAGTGCAGGCTGCCTATGAATTATGGCAGACCCAGCAGAAATGATTAAAGAGTTTCATGTTACTTTTGTGGGCTGATATGAGGCCTAGAGTCAGGTGAATGAAATTTATTTCTCCTTGATGGAAAAGCTGGAGTCAAGCTACAAATGTATATTCCTGAGGAATCTATATCTCTCTTCCAGCTGCACCAAGCTCAAGAGAGCTTACAGCAGGCTTTGCTGTCATGCAAAGGGATTAGAGGGCACAGAAAACAAAACAGTGTGGAGCTATGGAAAGGAGAAAAAGAGCCTCCCAGAGCTTTTCTCTCCTGGCTCTCTGTCTAAACCAATACAAGGAAGTACTGGGGGAGGGGAGTCTGGGGAGTCTGGCCTCATGGATGGTGCATATCACACTCCGACAGCCACACAACAATCATCAAAACTTGCCAATCTTTACCCGTGGGTTAACTCTTAGCTGCTTCCCAGAAGATGTGTTTATCCTGAACAACACAGTCTCCCTGGGTCATCTTGTGTGGCTCTACTGCCACAATGCCCAAGCTCTACCTACCGTGATAAGAGCACACATCTGGGGTGCAGAGGGATGGAATACTATCTTAGGAAGGATGCAGAAATGTTCTGTGTTATGGTCAACCGCTCTCCCTGGCATGTAAGCACTTTACACCAACTATGGCTCAAGCTCAGCTTCTGACATTTTACCCATTTCCAGAATGCACAGAGAATAAACAGTGTGAAGGTCAAATGAATCAGAGTCAGCTACCTTCATGGCACCAATGGCTTGGAAAGTCACTGCTAATCTTGAAGGGGTCAGTGCTACCATTATCGCATTGAGCCTCGCACTCTTGTCCTTAATTGGTGAATGGTACTGTCCATCTGGAGCCATGGATCCAAATCTGGGGAAAGGAAAACAAGCCAAATTGGAAAAAAGGTGGGGTTTAACAAAAAATAAAGACATGGCTCCACTAGAAAGGAACTCAAGTGGTCACACAGGGAAGTGCACAGATTTCCACATTCCTATGAGACAAAGAGCAAAGTAAACATAGAAAGTGCCTTCCCCCAAGAAAGACTTGACTTATGGCATAATTATTCATAATATTTCCCCAAGTGGAAACAACCCAAACATCAATCAACTGCTGAATGGATAAGCAAAATGAGGTATATTCACACAACGAGGTATTGTTCAACCATAACAAGAATGAGGTGCTGATATATGCTACAAAGAAGCCAGATCACATGATATGAATTACCATTTATGAGTTCCTCCCCAGGAAATGCCGAGAAAGACTGGACTCATGAGAAGTAAGAGCAGATTTTCTGCCACCATTGATCTGCTGCTCAGCTGTGGCCCCTGAGATGTAAAGACCAGCATCATGACACCAGTGTCAGAGCCTCACTGTGCTAACCACACACTGTCCCACATTTTAAGTGAAACATAATTCACATGTCATAGAGTTCATTCCTAAAGTATTCGGTACAGTGGCTTTTAGTACATTCACACCAACTTGTATAGCCACTATAGTTAAATCAAAAAACCTTCTTCACCTCCCAAAGAATCATTTGTAGTCAGTGCCCATCATCCTCACTTTCCAGTCATTCGTAGCCCTTAGCTTACTTTCTTTCTCCATGTATTTGACTATTCTCAACATTTCTCCTAAGTGGAATCATATAATACACCATCATTATGTCTGGAAACTTTCAGTTACCATAGTGATTTCAAAGTTCATCTATGCTATAGCATGTGTCAATATTTTATTTCTGTTTATGGCTTAATATTTAATTGTATGAATATACCAGATTTTGTTTATCCATTCATCAATTGACAGTTAATAAAAATGTGAGTTGTTTTACTTTTTGTATATTATAAATAATTATATGTGAAAATTTGCACACAAGCTTTTGTGTAGACATATATTTTCAATTATTTTGTGGGCAATGTTCTTATAGATACCTAGGAGTAGAACCATTGTGTTATTTGATAACTTTAAACTTTTGAGGAAGTGTTAAGCTGTTTTTCAAATCTGTGACATTTTATAACACCACCAGTAATATGTGATGGTTCTAATTTCTCTACATCCTCACCAACATTTGGAAGTGTCTCTTTTACTGTAGCTGTCTTAGTAGGTACTGAATGTTTTTTCCTTATGATTTTTTGGTATGTTCCTAATAATAAAGATCTTGAACATTTTTCATATGTTTACTAGTAATTAGAGGATCTTCTTTGGAGAAATATCTATTCAGATTTCTGTTCACTTTTTAAGTGGGCTATTTTTGTTTCTATTGTTCAGCTGTAATAGTTCTTTTTCTACTCTAGACACTATATCCTTATGATGCATTTGATTTACAAATATTTTCCCACTCTTTAGATTGTTTTCTACTTTCTTCATAGCGTACTTTGATTCATAAAATATTTTTTAATTTTGATGAAGTTCAATTTACCTACTGTCTTTGTTTCTTTGGTTATGCTTTTGGAGTCACATCAATAAATCAACATTTAAATCAAGGTCAAAAAAAAGTTAAACCTGTCCTCAAAGAGTTGTGTAGTTTTAACTCAGACATTTAGGTTGAAATCACTTTGAGTTAATTCTTGTATAGGGTGTGAAGTATGGGTCCAACTTCATGGCTTTAGAGATGGAACCCAGGGCCTCACACATGCTAGGCAAGTACTCTACCACTGAGCTGCATCCCCAGCCCTTGAATATCCACCCAGTTTCCCTTGAGTATCCAGTATCATATGTTGAAAATACTATTCTTCCCTCATTAAGTTGTTTTGGAACCCTAGATGAATATTACTTGACCATCAGTGTGAGGATTTATTTCTATGCCCTTTATTCCATTGTTTATATATCTATTTTACACATAAATAACACCACACAATCTTGTACTATAGCTTTGTAGTGTTTTCAATCATGAGTTCTTATACTTTGTTCTTCTTTATCAAGGCTGTTTTGGCTATTATGGATTTCATATACTTTCATATGGATTTTATAATCAGTTTATTATTTCTGTAAAAAAGAGAAAGAAAAAGAAGGCAGCTGGGATCTTGATAGGGATTGTATTTACTAGCTCACTTTCTATCAAGTGATGAACCAAAACTCCAAAAGTGGGTCTCCTTCCTCAAACTTCAAAACCCCTAGTTGCCATTGTTGATCTATATATACATGGCAGGGGGCAGGTAAAATGCCAATGAAATGATGTTAAAATCAAATTTTGTTAAAAGATCTTGTTAACAAAAGACCTTAAATATCCTGAAGTCTTCTACAAACAATGTAGCTCTCTGTCCCATTTTTTCCCTCTCTTTAAATCTGACTTTCTAATCTAGGGCATTGAATGAACACTCAGCATTGGTTCAGCCTGTAACACAGCACTGGCCAAACCACTAATATCTCCGACCTGCTCTTGTGGATATTAGTGGCTACTGAAAGGGTCCAAGGGGCTTTCTTAGGCTAACTTCAAACATACTTTTTTTTTTTTTTTTTTTTTTTTTTT